GAAAAGGTGCACTTGATGGTCCCCTGCTGAATGGCCTGAAAGAAGAACCAAGAGACATTCTCGCCACGGCGATCCAGAGGCCTCCATCCCCCTCAGAGAGGAAGGAGCCAAGCCTTCACACACTGCCTCTCCTGGGCACAGAAAACCGCCCACCCTTTCCAAACTTCCCTGGGTACCAAAGGACTAGAGATACCCACAACAGAGCAAGGGTAACTCTTTCCTGCGGCCGTTTGCAAAACAAACAGGAACTATTTGAGCTTCTCTTTATCTTAATTCACAGGTGTTGTCAGGATGTGTGTGGAGTGAGGCGCAGCCCTAGTCTTCCTTAGGAGGGGCACTGCCCCCCACCTGGCCTGTGATTTCTCACAGGGTGCTCGGGGAGCTCCATGCGTACAGTTACCCCGCCAAGCAGCAGAGACTGGAGGACCGAGAAACCTCCTTAGGACATCCTCGAGGGTGGAATAGGGGCCTGGGGACTAGAAGTTCATGCCTCTCTGTTCCTTTTATTCATTTTCAAAGTAATACATCTGTCCGGGAGCAGAAAATTGGAAACAATCTAAACATTTTTCAGTAAGACGGGCTAAAGAAATTATGGTTATTTCCATGGTACATGATGAACTTAAAAAAAGAATGAGAATAACTCTTTATGGACTGATATGAAAAGATTTCCAAGGTATATGTTAACTTTTTAAAAAAGAGTTATAGACTAGTGTATAGTATATATCTCTCATTTGTATAACAAATACTATCATTTGTATAACATTTGTATAACTGTCCATAAAAAGAACATATATGGCATAGTTTAGACAAGCACATCAGACCTCTGGAAAAATACAGCAGAAACTAACAACAGAGATGGCATTAGGGGACAGGACAGAGGAAAGAGGGAAAACCTTTATAGTATGCTTTTTACATTTTTTGAATTTTGAATATTGCGAATGCACAAGCTCTCTAGAGATCTAAAACAATGAATATCCTGACTTTAAACATTCGTAATTAAAGAGAAAGAATTATGCATTTATCTGGATTTTCCAGAAGGAACTCTATTTCAGAGTAACTTAAATAGCCCCAGGTGATGAGGGAAGTGCCACTTCATGGAAGAATGCCAGCTCAGCTAATAGCTGGGGACACAATGACAGGAGGAGAAAAGCATCAGTGTGAAACTCCTAATGAAATTACTGACTGAGGTGAGAATTACAAATTGATGTTAAAACTATCAGGTGAAAGAGGAACTGGACATCCAAATAGTGCAAAAATAATACCATTCAAATAACTTTCTGTCACAGGAAGAGACCCTAACAGTTCCAGGGAGGGCTCAGACTAGATCTAGACATTCATGCCTTGTGATCTGATGTAAAACGAGTGCGCATCACCTATGACAGACGCCAGCAATTTTTTCTATAAAAGGCCAGATATTAAATATTTTAGGTTTTGTGGACCAAATGCAGTCTATGCTGCAATTACTCAACCCTGCCAATGTAGCGCTAACGCAGCCACAGGCAGTACGTAAACATGAGCATCCTAATAAAACCTTGTTTGTGGATGTTGAAATTTCAGTTTCATGTGTCATAAAATATTCTTCTTCTTCTTCTTCTTCTTTTTTTTTTTTTTTTACTTCCATACTCCCAGAGTCTTCTATTGATCACCAGTAGTTCAACACCAGGTACATACAGCATTAGCAAAAAACAAAGGTCTGTGCTTAGAGTTCAGTTTCCACCTGCAACAACCCGTTGTCTTTTTGCCTGCCTCTTCCATAGCGATTCTCTCCTGACTCACTTGCTCCATAATCACAGGTGAAGACACTTTTACTGGTAACCTAGATCTTAGAGAAAGCACAGCCCCAGAAATAAAGTGGTCTCTTCAGCATCAGACACTGCCAGGAAACTTGGGGGCAACCCGGGTGTCCCGAGATTGTCACTGTTTTTTTACAATAAAAACTTTTCATGGTTCTTACTCCAGACTTAATCTTACTCTGCATGCGCACGGCCCTATTCAAAGTATATTCAACATCACATCAGTACAAAAAAGTAACATCATCGGTTTTCTGTCCCAAATCATAACAACAAAGTCATCTTCTCTGTTACCTTATAAAGTTCTAGGGCAATGCCAGCTGCCATTTTTCCTCCGTAGGACTCTGAGAAAATGTAGAATGGAACTGTCTAGCAAGAAAATAAATTTACAAAACATTAAATATCCTGATTGCTTTTTAATTCACCCAAATTAACTTCAATTCTGCTTTTGTTTTTTCCCCCCCGTATCTGATTATCAAGCCTGATTAGAATAGTGACTCTAAGGTCAATCTTTCAAGCTAAAAAACCATCTTTAGCGATGATAAAAACAAAAGTCCACAACCCAATCTTAGGAGTAAAAAGGTTTGCTCTGAAATCAGCCTGGCATTAAACTCTTGGTTAAGTTTGCGCTTATTCTGACGGAAGTAGAGTTGCTACTGCTAGCCCTTTACTTAGCTGTTCCTGAGTCTTTGCTTACCTGGAATTCTTTGTGGCAATCGAAGAAGGTCTTCAGGAGAACCATCATGTCTGAAGCCACTGTAGCAAGGTCTTTGGCATACGCGTCACTCTTGTTCACGTAACTGAACCCACTGCCCACAGGATTATCCACAAATAGGAGACTGGCCGCCTGCAGCTACGTGCCACAGAGGAAAACCAAACGTTGCAGTTAGTTGTCACCAATTATCTTCTCATTTTTATTTTATTTTTTTAAAGACAAGGTCTCACGAGCTATGGCACGATCATAGCTCACTGCAGCCTTTAACTCCTGGGCTCAAGGGATCCTCCTGTCTCAGCCTCCTGAATAGCTGGGACTACAGGTGGGCACCACCATGCCTGGCTA